ACCGTCGAACCCTAAACCCGGAGCCGGTAGACCGGACCCTTTGAAACTTACCTGCTGCAGGTCAGGTTATTCAAGTTCTTTGAGAGCAACCCCCGTTTAGCGACATGAAACTGTTCTCGAACTGATCACGAACTGTACTCTGGAACTGTTCTCGAACTGTTCACGAACTGTTGGAGCTGCTCTCGAACTGTTCACGAACTGTTCCCCCCCCTCCTTAAAGAAAATGAACCCAAGCAACGTGAACTCGAACTGAACTCGAACTCGAGGCCCTCCCCCTTCATGTTCATGCCCCACTCTGGAACTGTTCTCGAACTGATCACGAACTGTACTCTGGAACTGTTCACGAACTGTTCCCCCCCCCTGGAGTACTTACTGTTGATTTCACTGCGTGCTGGCAGGCCTGTAAGTACCTGGATAGTAGAAGTTCCCACCTTGCCCTACACCGAACGCGGAGCGAAACAAACTGCTCACAGTTTGTGGCTGAAGAAATCGCAGGCCGGAAGCTAGAAAGACCAGACCTTGGAAAAACCCTATATAGGCCTCGCCTGAAAGGACGATAGAATTTTAAGGGGCCTTCTGCAGGGCTCCATGTTCGTATGAGGGAGCGTCAGCAGTTCTGACTTGGCCCCAGTATCCGCTGCATAGTATAGAGTAGAGACCATGCTTCAGCCAACAACTTGCTTGTCGGCCCTCCTTAGCACCTCCCGTCCTGAAACAAAAAACATTCGCTGGATCCTAAGCCTCAAGTGCCAGGAGTTTGAAAGCTTTGCGGCCCGTGCAGACGTGCAGGCGGGAAACGGTGTCCTTGCCACCTCACGAGGTTCAAGCTTTAGGGTATTAATGGCTAAGATCCAGTATGCGTGGTCGAATGCATAGGTCTCTTGCGCAGGGGCCATTGGTTGGGGTTTAGGAAGCATGACCACTTCAACTCAGTATCATTCTACTTAGAGCAGTACCAAGAGTTTCCAAAGTTACTTGAAAAATGTGCAAAGAGCTGGATCCCACCATCCCCATCTTGAGCTGCTGGCCTTGAAAGAGTGGAACAATAGCAACGGCAGTAATAGTTGATCGTAATCATAGTGCAAGTAGTACTAAAAGTAGTGGCACTAATAATAGCATTAATAATGACTATTTATTCCCTAAGAATCCTTGATGATGCATCTCAGGGCCTTAGACTTCTTAGTTCTGGGGGAGAGTAACACTATTTGCATGCCTTCCGTCCTGAAAGCTTTCGTGCTGCCTTCCAGGAACCCCGAGACAGGTAGAATCGCATCCTGGTTGTCCGAATTCCGATAAATTGGAAATGTGGCCCCGACTCAGGCCCCTACTCATAGGGTCTCAACACTTCCGCTCATCTTTCAAAAGCCCACGCTTTGCGGAAGCTGAAGTGCCGCTAGCAGAAAGGTCCTCATCCTAACTGGACACCTAGTTGCGTTGACCTTTTTGGGTACCCTAAAGATTACTGTAGGTGCCGTATTATAATAGGGAACCAAAAAGGGACCATAATTTTGACAACCACCCAATAGCCCATTACTTATAGACATGGAGCCCTCGGGTGAGGGAGTAGCAATCCAAACAAAAGCTCCAGAGAATAGTTAGCCATGCCTTAAGCCTGAAGGATTAAGGCGAGAGTGGACCCAGCGCCAACCCAGATACTATAGGAGCTATAGCCCAAACTCCTTAAAGGGGTGTTATATAGGGATTATATGGGGGAGTACTATAGGGGTTATGAAGGGGGATACTAGGAGTTGAGACTAGAAGTTTCCATTTTCTTTTCCAGTATCCCTAGATATAAAACCCCTGTTATACTGTGGTGGTTGTCACGTTCTTTTTCATTATCCCTTTATATAACCCCTAGTATACTACAGTAGTTTCCAGCTTCTTTTCCATTATGCCTAGTGCTGACCAGGCCTATTTTTCCGTTCTTGAACTTGACATCTCGAAGGCCGCTTTGAGGGTCCCAGGGTTGAGACCTAAAGGTCATTGTCTGCGGGTTAGGGGTCTTGTCCGATATAACTTGGTTCCCATGTCATGTTCCATCTTCTTTTCCATTTGATTCTCCATTATTAGGGCCTATACCTCTATACCCCCATATCCCTAAACCCTAAACGGTAGTTTCCATTTTCTTTTCCACGATCCCAATATAACCCCTATATCACCCCATATTAAGCCTAGGGTTTAGGGTTAAGGTTAGTCTTAGCATGTGGGGTGAAGTGTAGTCTTTACTTATGACTGGCCGTCTTTCTCAACCCAAGGAGCTATTGGTTTATAGACTCCCTAGAAAATTTGGGGGATTGTCAAAATTATGGTCCCTTTTTGGGTCCCCTAAATTAGGCCCCGTATTAGAATAGGGACCCAA